TTTTGTTTTTTCTGCAGAGAAATTTGTGAAAGTCTGACTAAATTATGGATGCAGGTCAAACCAAATGAAACCAGATGATTTTTAGCTTCACCAGCCTTGACCAAACTGTTTGAAGCTAGAAATTGACTCTTTATGTATTTATTTAATAAAGTAGGAGGCTATTTATTAAATGTCGTTTATTTAGACTGCCAAGACAGAGTTTAAATTTGGGTGTATTGTACTTCTGGAATGCTGGTTGTTTCATACCTAAATTTTTCTGGATTATCAAGTATCAGTAAACCTAAATGTTTTTGCTCTTAAATCCCCATAACCCAGTTTTACACTGACTGCTGACACTTCTCCTAAAATAGATAAATAATGCCAAAGTCAAGGTACCTAAAAAAAATTGAAAGCCGTTAAAATCAAAATTTCAACCGAAATTGAGATTAGCTCAAATCAGAGTATTACAGAAGCTCAAGATCAGACATGTTTCACTAATCTCTGATCAGTGCTTAATGTTTTACACTTGACACCTTTAGCAACCATCTTTAAATTATGAAATGTGATTTTGACAACTGGGAAAATGTTTCTTTAAATCAAAGGATATCAGAATAAATTTGTAAATTTGCACATTAATTTAATTTCATAGCCGCTGGGCATTAGAAGACATTCTATAAAGTGAAAGTAAAGTTATTGTTTTATGAGGAGTTGTACAAGCCATATGTGTGGCTTGATGTGCTGACATGATTTATGACATGTACGATCCTTCATAATTTTTGCTTTGCTGGCATTTCCACAAATCATGTGGAAAAGCATCAATAGAGGAAAATCCTTTATCCTGGGGTTGGGTTTCATTGGTAAGGAATGACTTGGGGCTATTCCACAGCTGGCCCACCACCTGCAGGGGGAACTATGATTGATATGGTATGTGTAATATAAATATTACACATACCTTTGAATATTTTGTATTACTAAAGGCTAGAATAATTAAAAGTGTTTATTTTTGCTTATCTGGTATCAAAGCCTGATATTTGTGTGTGATGTTCTTTATATGATGTATTTATAACCAGTATTATAAAAATCTTCTAGCACTTCTTTCTTGTAGTGTCAAAAGACTGTTTTGAACATATATCGTTTTGACAGAGTAAAAAGGATGGATTTACTCCTCTGTACTGTCAGCTGAGAACACAGCATAAGCCTAGTTTTCATTTAACCATCTGAAATTTCAATTTTGTTTAAAGGGATGCTGCATACTTACATAGATACTAATTTAAGATTACACAACTGTTTGCATGCTGTAATGGACAATAACTGCAGAACTAAGTGTAATCATGGGAAAATAGTTATAAAATCTCAACACGGTAAACTCCAATTATTGCTTAAAAATACAACTGAAAAATGTGTTTCTTTCAAGATAGTTTCAGTAAAAGGTAGAATTGGGCTGATGAATCTCCAGCCAACAATTGAATCTCTGTGGTGTCTAAGATACAGTTTGGTGTATTCTGACTTTGCTTAACCTATGCTTGTACATCAGGACTGACAGATTTACATATCAGCCTGTGGATTATTTTTCTGTCTGTAGAATGACAGACTTAAAACAGTTTTAAAATGCCCTGTTATCCCTAGTGAGCTGCACGGATTGTTTCCCTAAGGTTTAACCATTTTTTTTTCTTACATTGTGTTGACATAAGGTCTTCGTAAACTGTTGCTAAACTTCCAAAACTCATGCTTCTACAGTATAGCGGCGGCTGAATTGTTAATATCAGTTTACTCTGAGTGCATATGATCAGGGGGCTTATGTACTTTTTGTAGCTGGCTCTAAATCTTATCTTAAGCAATGCTTTATTAGTCATGAAAATGATTTCAGCCAGCATTTAGTGTCTTTATTTGTTTACTATTTGTTGTTCCCCACACTTTCTGCCTCCCCCGTGTTCACAGGTCTCTTTTGTTCTAACATACTGATACGCATAAACACTCTTGGTTTCTGTATCAGCTTTTAGATCCCACAACCTGATTAAAGTCTGCTTTGTGTACTGTTTTTATTCTTAGTGAGGCATTTGAAAATATCTCCAGCCTGAGTCGATATAGACAGAGTCTGAGTTACAATCTCAGTCCCTAGTGGATTCACACCAGCAGGCTCTGAATGGTAAAACTGCTCAGTGGTCTTGTTAAGAAGCAAATACATTTCACTAAGAGCATTTTGCATTGCTAGTGCCTCATAGATCATTTGAGTGGCCAAATGCCAGCTGGCATCATCAAAGTAAAAAAAAAAAAAAGTTGCTTCAGGTTGAAGCATTAACCCTAAGGATCATACAGCTATCTGTTAAGAAAAATACTTTCTCCTGCACGTTCTTTAGCAATGTTCATTTTCTTAAGCCTCTCCTCTCCAGCTTCACCACAAGAGACCTGGTTAAGCAAAAAAAATTAGGTTTCTGAGATTCAAGTTTATTGAAGTCGCTTACATAGTAGATGTGTACCATCACATTTGATCTCTGGATTATTCAAGCACTTATTCTCATCTAAATACTCTTTGTAAAGTGCCCACAGATGATGTATTATGGATTAAAACTGTGTAGATAAACTGAATTGAACTGACAATTGTGTCAATACTGTAAACTGTTTGTTTCTATGGCTATTCTGGCCACAAGGGACCGCTGTTGGGCACCTGTCTATCTTGCTTTTGCTTTGGTAGTGAGTTTGTGTCTGTCATGTGTCATGTCATGTGTCTCGTTGTGTTTCCCTCCTCTGCCACCTGTTGTCAATTTTGCAATTAGTCTGTGTATTCAAGGGCTCTAATTTTTTGTTTGTTAGGCGCTGAGTCTTTTTCTTGCATCCATATTTCTGGCGACCTCCTCTGAGTTCTTTTTGTGCTTGTGATACTTTGCGTTCTGGGACTTTAATGCTCGCTTACTTAGGTTTTCAAAAACATTTGGCGTTGCCAAACATTTTTTTTTTCCATTTTGGATCCTTTGTACTTGTTATTTCTGAAATGCCCCAGGACTTCTATTGTGGATCTTCTGAATTATTATTTTTTTTAATCAACTGAGTTTTGGGGAAAAAAATAAAAGGAAATCTCTGCACTTGAATCTTTACCATCTACCTGGACTATAGAACCTACCAAGCCGACGTCCCGGGTTCAATCCCAGAGTCAGTCCTAACATAAACAGTGGATGTTGCATCATCTGATAATCAGGGCGCCTTTTAGTGGGCAGGATATAATGTGTTAATGTCTTCTCTCTCTGAAGTGTTCAGTTGTCCGATGGAACAGGAACAGTTATAAATCAGTGGTCATGATTCTCTCATTGAGACCACAGAGCAAATGCTGGTCATTGTCGTTGAATTCAACAAACAAGTTACCATTTCTCAAATTGCAGAAGAAGTTTGTGCTGGTTTTGAAAGGTGTCAGAATAAACAGTGCCAGTGCCAGATCCAGAACTCTACCACGTCACAATAAAGGAAGAGGCCCTGGTGGTCTGTCGCTACTCTGGGAAACACACAGGAACGGAATGCACTGCAGAAAAAAATGTATATTGCCATAATCAGTCTAATAGTAAAAATGCATTAATGGATATAGACAGGGTCTGTTTTGGCAGCAAAAATTTGACCAACATTTGACCTACACATTATTACATGCGTTTTTTATATCTGATAGTAATCCCCTCCATTTTATTCAAGACCAGTCACTGATGAATGATCCTAAAAGCTAAGCAATAATTACAAACAACAGCCTACACTTACACATTAGGCTCTTTGCTTTAGTGCGTGTGAGTGTCTTTCTTTTAAATAAAAAATATGGCTTATATTTGCTAAAACAGATAGATGCACACATCCTTGGAACTGTTTACCATCCGTCGCCATTACGTCTGCAATTACTCAGAGGCTGAAAATAAGCTGCCTCATTTGCAGGATGCTAAGCTGCTCTGGCTGAGATCTTCAGCTTTATTAGCCTGTTGTTTTGGAGCTGCTTTTGACAGGAAGCTGAGCAATAAATTAAATAGATGGCTTGATAAAAAGCTTGCTGTGCAGAATTCTTCACGCCAGATTTTTGAGAAATCACGACACCGTAGCTCATAACAGACGATGTGTTCCCAGGGTGATTTATGAAATCAATTTGTCTTGTTATCAGTAGCCAGAGTTCGTCAGATAACATCACAGCCCATGCATCCAAATTTCTTGGGGGTAGAATGAAACAAGGAACAGAGTGTGCGTTTTCATTTTATTATTTTTTTTCTTTGTATCAGACATGTTGAAAATCACAATCGTTCATTTCAAGCGTTGATGTTGCATCGTGCTGTGAAGCATGTAAAAAAATTATGCAGACTTGATTAAATCCTGTAGCAGAATAAAAAAAAATTCTGTCTAAGACAGTTGGTTTCTCTGGTGCTCTGTATGCTACAGTGACTTATTTCTGCAAGCTGGCTTTGAAAAGCCTGCAGCTCCACTTTGCATCATCTCAGTCTGTGCCTGCTTCCTAGACAATCATTGATATGTGAGGTGGAAAGACAGAAAGCACCTTTATACCCGGACATCTGGTAACAGAAATGGCAATTTGTGTGTGTGCACGCAAACGTGAGATTCCTTACAGCTCGCCTTTATTTTGGGTCACTGAAGCAGAATCCTCAGAATGTCTTTCCAGACCTACATGTGAATTCTGCAGTGTCTGGTCACTCACCTTACTATGCTTCAATCCATCTACTCATTCTCTCCCTGGGGAGCAGGTAGAAATACTATTTTTACCTAAGGATCTAGTTTGGAAAAAAAGGAATTATTTGGAAAAGTATTGGGTTCCACTCTGTGTTGAGGAGGAGATAAGCAGTTATTTTGCCAAAGAAGTCAAAGCAGTGAATCTGAAGTGACAGCAGAAGGGATGAGATATTTCAAGATATGTCTTGATGGATGCGGTTTAATCTTAAGCCTGCCAGATGTGTCAAGGATTTGCAAACACCTTGTGGAGTAAATCTCCTTGCGTTGCCGCTCTCTCATCTTGTACCTCCATTCCCGTTTTCTGTCTGTCTCTGCAGTGAAGTTTGAGGATTGCCAACGCAGCAGAGAGGTGGGCTTTGTCAGCAGCGACCCCAACTTCAGCGTGAGGCCTGATGGGAGCGTGTACACAGAGCAGGAGGTGGCAAACCTCTCAGAACCTGTCCAGTTCATGGTGACGGCGCGGGGGCTACATGATCCTCACATCTGGGAGACCACAGTGAAGTTGGCCCTCACCGGACATCTTCATCCTCTACCACTCTCAAAGGTACAACACTCTGCTAGGTTAGAAAATACACATTAGCTGACCGTTGCTTTGTTATTTGTTCCACTTAAGGTGTTTTATCATTTATTTAGGCCTAAGTTATCTGCTTTTAATCCCTTAATGAAATCTCTTAGATCATTATGAGGATCTTTGGGTTCTTTTTTGTAAAGAAAATCCTATAAAGATGATCATATCAACCGACCATGAAGTGAAAGAGCTTTAATACAGACAACTGAAGACATGATTAGATTTTCCTTATCAATTTAGATTCATGGAAACAATTTTCTCTGCTTGAGCTTATAGTACCCAGCAGTGGGTTCAAAATTTCATGCTGGACAATAAATTCAACATTTATCTTCAGGGAATGGCTAATTTTACTTTTGTCTTATATCCAAGGTTTCATACATTGATTTCCTATAATTAGGACAAAATCTCATTTTCCAACAATCATTTAATTAATTTCAGTTTGCATATTATAGCTACTTTTTTGTTGTTGTTTTGGAGGTTGATTAGACTATAGCCCAAATTGGAAATCAGCTGCCAAAGGTGAATATAATGCTTCCACAAAGGATGTGTTTAAAGCTCTGCACTTTTCTGCAAACAGTTTAATACACATTTGGATTTTTTTGCAAACAAACCCAATCAGGTTTTGGCTCTGATTTGATACATGCAGAAAAACTGTAAGATTAAAAGAGTTCTGAAATTATTCAGAATGGCTTCCTTCTATTTCACTTCAGAGATACCTGCCATTTTAAAAGCAGTGCGTACACTTTTGAGAGCCACCACACAATTAAATTGTATTCAGCACTGCCGTTTCATCATCTCATTCCTTTTCGAACTTGGAGCAACAGGTTGTGAACATTAATGTAGTTGGTACTCAAAGCTCCTTCTTTCTAATGAGCCAGCAAATGGTGATTACAGATCTCTGTTTAAGTCTTCAGCCTTAATTATTTATATTTGATGAAAGCTAAACTTAATTAAATTTGATTGAAAAATGTTCTAAAAGACTGTTAATTTCAGACCTGCGTTTCCTGATTGGGTGTTATTCATTTTGTAGCTGAGGGTTGATAAAAGCATCTTTCTGATTAATTTCCCAATCAGAAAGTCAATCCACAGAATACTGATCCCTGCAATAAAAGTTAGAAAAGATGAACGTAGTAAAATTGCAACATTTGCAATGCTAGAGCTACTTTCAATTTAACTCTCTTGTCCTCCATTTACAAAATCATACAGCGCTTACAAGCAATGTCTATATAAAAAGATGGGAAAATATTTGCCTCATTTGTTTTTAACTTAGACTATATCCACAGGGTACATATACTACTGTATATACACATAGGTAGAGGTGTCTCCTCGGTCGCCGTATCTGCCCCCCACTACTTGTTGAACACCATTAGGCAAAATGTTCACTCCTGTCTCTAATCATGACAAAAGGCCTACGTCTCACGTAAATAAAGTAGTCACAGAGTGAGGATTAAAATTCTGCCCATTCCTGTGGGTGCAATAATGGAGACCGGGGGGATAATTGACATTGATTGAGGTAATGTTCCACTCTGGTAGAGTCTGCAAAGACCAGGTGATGTAGTTTCGTTGTATAATTATGTTCCACACATCATGGAGCAAGGGAAAGATTCAATAATTGAGGGAGTAGAAAAAAAAGTGTTTTATTTGATGACATCAGTCTTTAAAAATGAGTTTGTCTACATATTGTGCATCCATTCTTGTTTTTCCCATCGCAGTATTTATTCGATCTCCTGTAATTTTTAACTAGAATTGTTAGTAGTTGAAATACTTCAAATTGGTTCATAAAACCATTGATATAATAAAGTATGACAAATTTATTACTGCTTTTAATGAATAAACTTTTCAGTGCTTTGGTTTAATTTCTCTGTTTGAGATATTGTGTTTTGAGTTATTTTTGCATTTTCTGTGTTTGCTTTTGTTGCTGTTTATTGCTCTCCTAGGTATTTGATGTTTCCCATTGTCATTTGTCTAATCTCCTCACTTCCTTAACCTTGCTGTCCAGGTCGGGAACCTTTAGTTCTGGTTATTGTTCTTACATGTTTGCTACTTCACAATCTGACCTCATTGGTACATAAGCTCCCTGGTTTTCAATGTTCCTTGCTTGTTTCTACAAATGCTGTCATCCATAGGTTTCTTTTGTGTTTTCTGTTCATTTTCTTTCAGATTTTATTAATTCTTTAATAATTCAGAGTTCCTACGTACATAAGTGTTGGCCAAAGCAATAAGCTAATCTGAAACAGGATTTAACAGTATTTTCAAGCAGTCAAGGCCAAAAGCATTTCATTTTTGCATTGCTTTTAAAATATATTTGTAAATCTTGAATTTCTTCAAATTTCATCAAATTAAAGCAAAAAAATTTATTTGTTTTATTGGACGTTTATGTCATATAACAACAGAAAATATTAACTGTGAAGCTGGGAAAAAACAATAGATTGCTGCAAAATTATTTTGGAACTAAGGTCTGAAAAGTTTTAATCTGCCATTGTTAAATAAAATGTACTATAACAGCACATTCTCACTCCCACTCAAGTCACATATTGTAGATTCTATTGACTAGAACTGCTGTTTATTTCAAACTGTATAAATTTAACTTTCCTGTAAAGGCTTTAGAGGCCTTTGTTAGTGAACTTAAGCAGTCAAAGGGCGTCATCAAGAGCAGAGGACAAACCAGACAGGTCAGGGCTAAAGACATGGCTTTTACGTAATAGTGGCTAAAAGAAGACCTTTTTTTAAAAGTAGGTCACCAGAAGGTCTTTTTTGTAGCTTTCTATGCTAAGCAGACACAGAAAACATGTTGAACAAGATCCTCTGATCAAATGAGATCCTAACTGAATTTTTCAGTCAATGTTAAAAACACTATGGGGGGAGGAAATAATGTATAACACTGTGCATTACACTACAGTAAGTAGACCATACCCATGGTAATACAGTAGATCCCCATGCCGTTGGGGTTATTTCCTTTGGCAGAGACAAAGAAAATGCAGGTCATCCTGGAGAAAAATCTGTTAAACCACATATGAGTGAAGGTTTACCTTTATTCAAGGCGGTAAACCTAAACATATAAAAAAGCTTTAGAAGCAAATCCTGCCTCGAGATATGAAAGGCTGATAGAGACACACAACCAAACTAAGAATAGTTTAAAAGTTTTAATAATATATTTATTATAGTTAATTTAAGCACTACTTTCTGTTGGTCACTAATACTAGATTCCAATTAAAGATATTGTGATGATATTTAGAGGATGCACATGGTTCTACCCGATTCACTGTATGTTAACCATTCTATCTTTTCAGAGATATTTCTGATAACAGTTAATGATTAAATCCCCATGAAGTGTTTATAATTGAGTGAAAGATTAATTGGAAACAATTGGCAAGCGGAAAATTGCCCTTTAAAACATTTGTCCTCACTGAAACCTACAAGTCACTATGAATTAGATTTTAATGACTTCATGTGGAGGGTGGAAAATCGATCCACATGTAATGGACGTAGAAGGGCTGTAATCAGCCCTCAATAAACCTGGGAGTGTCTTTACAAGGTGGTTTTCTCAATTCCACTGTTAACAACAGAAACAATGATATAAAAGTAAATAAGCCATAATTGCTAGGTTAATAGGCTCTATGTGACCACATTTCAAGGTCTGGATAAATATGAACTATGGAGTATGGAAAAGTATGGAAAGATTTATGCAATCACAGACATAATTTAATTTCCCAAGCATATTAAAAAAAAAGATTTCTTAAAGATTTTTTACCCTATTTAGCATTTGAATGGTAAAATGTCTCTATTTTCTCTTAATGTGGGGTTCTGAGTAACTGAATAACACTTCAGAAGTATTAAGGGGCCATTTTACAGATTTTTTGAGATCCTATACTGAACCACTGGAAATGTAATTATTAAAATAGTTGAGTTGCCAGCAATAAACATTATTAAGAATCAAAGTTTACAAATGAAGCTTTATAGAAACTGTATTCTTTCCTTATCTATCATGCAGCAAATAGTAAATTACCTCTCCCCCTCCAAAAAAAGTGGTAACTCAAAATAGAATAACATTTTCAGTCTACACACTTTATGACATTGAAAAAAGTCTTTTACAGATATTCATAAAAATTGTGTAACATGTTAAGGTGATTTTCTGTGTGTTTTGGTAGCTTTACATTTTGTGACAGAGGTTTCTTTGATTAAAAGAAAAAAAAAACATTTAAAAAAATTTATTTCCTCTCTTCTTGTCTAAAATAACTTGTGAAGTATTACACAAATCATTGTGTAATAATAGTAAAACTATAAAAGTTTATATGCAGCAAATTCTCCAGCTTATTTAAGAGAAATATTTGCTTTAATACATTAACAACCAACTCTCATTTTAAGCCTAATAAATGTAAGAACATCAGAAAATTACTGCTTCCTGGGCCTAGAAGGTTAGTTTAACAATACACCGAACCATACCATACTTGTCTGTTATAAATATGGCTGCTTAGCAGTTAAAAGAAATGCTCTTTCTCCAGCTAAATTCTGCCAAAACACTCAGTATTCAATTCCTCTCTGAAGATAAATAGTGTTAAGGGGGTTAGACTTGTTTAAGATATACCAAGCTTAGTTTTTAATTGTAAAAGTAAACTGGCATTTGCTCCATATTATATATTTCATTCCTGCTGCAGATGTGTTGTTGAGTAGTTAAAGTTAATTTGCTTTTAATAACCAGCTTCATATCTCACATTTCTCTTTTAGAGACAAACATTTGCATACTTTGAATGTGTAGCACTAGATACAATTTAGCATTTATTTTTCAAGTGTGCAATGCTGTATCATTTGAAGTGTGAAGCATCTTTGTCTGAAAGCCCTTCCACTGCAATTTATTTGTTCAGGTTATCACACCTCGTGCAGGTAGGGCCCCTGGTGGAGTGCTCTCTAACTCGGGCTGATTTCATGGCTCGACTGTTTGCCGTCTCCACCTGATCTGAGCCCCTTCAGTTATGCGC